TTGGGTCACTGGCGGTGGGGGTGGGGAAGAGGTCTTTGCAGAGCCAGTTTGGTGTCGTGTTTAAGTGCGCGGACTCTAAGCTGGGAGGACCGGGTTTGATTCCCCACTTCTCCACTTGCACCTGCTAGATGACCTTGGGCAAGCCATAGTTCTGATAGGAGCTGTTCTTGAAAAAGAGCCGTTCCTGTCAGAGCTCTCCCAGCCCCGCCTACCTCACAGGGTGTCTGTGGTGGGGAGGGGAAGAGAAAGGAGTTTGTAAGCCGCTCTGAGACATCTTTGGGTAGTGAAGGGCAGGGTATAAATCCAATCCTTCCTTCTTATTCAGTTTGGTGTAGTGGACTCTAATCTGGGATAACCGGGTTTGATTCCCCACTCCTCCACTTGCACCTTCTGGATGACCTTGGGCAACCCATAGTTCTGATAGGAGCTGTCCTTGAAAAAGAGCCGTTTCTGTCAGAGCTCTCCCAGCCCCGCCGACCTCACAGGGTGTCTGTTGCGGGGAGGGGAAGGGAAAGGCGTCTGTAAGCCGCTCTGAGACTCCCATGGGTAGTGAAGGGCAGGGGGTATAAATCCAATATCTTCTTCTTCTTCTTCTTAAACATCGAGGTTCGGCTGCAGTCAGCTCTTTGAGGCTGCTCACATGAAGCAAGGCACAAGGCACCTTGTCACAATGAACCCATCAATGCCCAGGTCCTGTTGAGCTCCGCTCAGGGAAGCCCAGGGGTGCCTTCTGGAGCCTCTGAGGTGCCATCTTAAGCTTTCCCACCTCGGCCAAAGGTGGGATGGAAATTGTTTGCGCAAGGAGGCAGGGCTCCTTTTTGTAGCAGGAACTCCTTTGCATATTGGGCAGCACACCCCTAATGTAGCCAATCCTCCGAGAGGTTACAGAGCTCTTCTGGCAGGGGCTACCGTAAGCTCTTGGAGGATTGGCTACATTGGGGGGGTGTCGCCCAGGGGTCATTTCATAGAAAAAGAGGTGCAGGAGCTCATTAGCACAACTCATTAGCATAACTTCTTTGCATATGCCACACCCCCTGACGTCACCGGACATTTGTCAGAAGGCAACACCCACCGCTCAGGCTCCACTGGACTCTTTTGGATTGCTAGCTATTGGGGGGGACGGGACGGGACATGCAGATCTGTCTTTGCAGAGGAGGGAGAGCTTGTACCTGAATAAAAATTGGTCTTAAAGGTGCCACTGGACTGTTTTGGACCGGGGGGCTGGGGGGCACTCTGCAACTTACCTGGCTGTTTCTTGCTCTGACTGAGGGCTGCTGGGAGCAGGGGGTGGGGCTTGTTGCATGTGCCCGCCCCCTGGGCTCTTTACTGCCGGAGCTCCGCTCCCGCGCGCTCCTGCAGGAAATGACCCCTGGTCACCTAATACGCAAAGGAGTTCTTGGTACAGAAAAGGAGCCCTGGGGGGAATCTGAAGACAAAACGCTTGCAGGATCCCAAACCCCAGTTGTTGAGCTCTCCGCTTACTGCCCCATTCAAGACAGACGGGGTTGGGAGGGGTTTCAGAGGAAGGCCGATGCTGTGACCTGCGCCTGATGCTTTTCATCTTCTCCTGGCGATACAACGGTGCAATATGCAGGAATTCAACAGGTCTGGTTTCTCTTCACTCCTGTCCATTGGTGCAGGGAAAAACTACACGGCCTGAATTTCCGCCACTCTGGAAACTTGTTGTTAAACACAGAATCCGTGCCAGGAAGGGCCACGGCTGCAGCGCCTTCTGCGGACTGCCAAGTCCTCCGGTCAAGCCAGCCCCACCCAGCACTAAGGGCCGCTCTCTCTACTGCCCTCCCCCCAGAATTCCTTTTTTGGCAAGGGAGGGCATGAATGTGTTCCTCCTAAACTAAAAGTGAGTAAGGGCAAATTTTCATTTAGGGCTCAAAGGGAACATTTCTTTTGGCAGGGCAGCCTCTTGGCTGCTCCTGCCCTCGCGCCGCTACTGTGAAGTGATCCCCGCTGGCTGGTTGGGCAGAAACCGCTCAAGTCCCCCTGGCAAAGGATTGTTGACGTTCTGCTGCTGACGGACAGGCAGCCTGCGCGGATTCCACGCGGGCTTTGCGAACAGGGAAGTGGCGGCGGGCCACCCCTCCCCTTTCCCTGGCTCCGTGACAACGAGCCCCGTGAAGGGAGATTGTGAAAAATCCGAAATTACGAAAACAGTGGTTGGCTGCATTCTGGCCAAAGACTCCCCTGCAAGGAGAAACTCTGTGGCCGAGATGGTTAAACTGAAACGTCATCTTGACAAGAAGACGGAGGTGCTCTGGGTTTAACGGAAAGGCAGGCCGCGGGCTTCAGGTCTCTTCTTGGACGGGCTTGGGTCGCTGGGTTGTACCAGTTCCAGGTGGGAAGCTGAGAGCGAGTCGCTGGCAGTGTCCCCTCTAAGCTGAGTTAGGGTGAGCTGGCTCACAGTTTTTCAGCCTCCGGCTCACAGCTTTTTGTCTTAGCTCAGGAAGGGTGTGGCTCCAGAGCAAACTAATTTCTGCAGCAGCCAAATCGCCAGCTCACCACTTTATTGCCGGTCGCTCACAAAGTAGGATTTTTGCTCACAGGACTCCGCAGCTTAGTGGTCTGTGGCCCGCGGAAGCAGCAGCTCTTCAGAAGCGCCCATCCTGAGCCGCTGGCATTTTGGAAAGTGGGCAACTCGGTTCTTGGCATAGTCAGGCAGAGAGAATAACGTGTTTGTAGGATTGCTGGACCCTGGCCTGGACAGCCCAGGCTAGCTCAGCCTCGTCAGCAGGGTCGGCCCTGGCCACTATTTGGAAGCGAGACCACCAAGGAATACCAGGGTCGTGACACAGAGGCAGGCAAGGGCAGACCAGCTCTGAACGGTCTCTTGCCTCGGAATCCCCTCCGGGGTCGCCATAAACCCGCCGCGACTTGATTGCCCTTTCCACACACGGAGTGAGGAGCGTCGGGACCGGCAGTCTTTCCCACCCTAGGCGTGACTTCGGCATAGAGTTTCTGTAAATATATAAAGCGCTCCTGGGTTTAAACATTAAGAGCCCTCTCACTCACGCTGCGGGAGCCCTTTGCTAGTGAGTCACAGGGAGCGGTTGTCACCTCCTGGGCGGCTGGCCTTGTTTGTGGAGGGCCCGTCCCCTTGGACACCTGCCATGGAAATGCTGACCTTGCTCTGTTCCCCGGGGCAGCTTCTTGTTGTTGCGTGCCTGTAAAATAAGCCCCTGGTTACGCACCCCTCGTGTTGCCTCGGCTGGGTTTTGCAGCTCCGCCTCCACACCCCTTCGCAAGAGGCCTTCTGCAGCGCTGGCAAAGGGGTGTGGAGAACCCCAGGTAACCTCCACGTTCGGAAGCAGTCTACCGACTGGACACCAGATGCTAGCAGATGGTCTTTCTGGTCTTTCTGAAGGCGTCTGGCTAGCTACAGGTAGACACCAGCCGGCTCTGCTCGACTCAACGGGCGCGCCTTGGTCTGCCCCCCCTTGGGTTTTTTTGCGGTCCAAGGACTGAGCCCTGTGCAGGGCTCAGGTCTGGAATGCGGTGCTGGATCCAGGCATTTGGCCCCCGGAAGTGGGCCGTCTCCCCTTCCCCCCAGAGTATGCAAGGCACAGTCATAAGAACATTAGAGCAAAAGAGAAGCCAATGCTGGATCAGGCCCGTGGCCCATCCAGTCCAACACTCTGTGTCAAACAGTCCCTCTGGGAAGTTCTCATTGCACCCCACAGCCAGAGAAGATTTTCCTTCTTCCCAGGGGTCGTTTCGTAGAAAAAGAGGCGCAGGAGCGCATTAGCATAACTCATTTGCATATGCCACACCCCCTGACACCACCGGAAGTGTGTCAGAAGGCAACACCCACCGCTCAGGCTCCACTGGACTGTTTTGGATTGCTAGCTATTGGGGGGGGGGGACGTGCAGATCTGTCCTCGCAGAGGAGGGAGAGCTTGTACCTGAATAAAACTTGATCTTAAAGGTGCCACTAGACTGTTTTGGATTGCTAGCTATTTGTGGGGGGGGACGTGCAGATCTGTCCTCACAGAGAAGGGAGAGCTCGTACCTGAATAAAACTTGGTCTTAAAGGTGCCACTGGACTGTTTTCGACCGGGGGACTGGGGGTGGGGCTCTGCAGCTTACCGGGCTGCTTCTTGCTCTGAGGGCTGCTGAGAGCAGGGGGCGGGGCTTGTTGCATGTGCCCGGCCCCTGGGCTCTTTACTGCCGGAGCTCCGCTCCTGTGCGCTCCAGCAGGAAATGACCCCTGTTTCTTCCCTCTCTACCGTCCCAGATTGGGCCACGAGAGGCCCACAGGCCCACAGGGCTTCCTAAACTCCTCTCTGAAGAGTTTGGCCCCCATTTAGATTACGCGGCTGGCAAAAGGACACCAGAAGCGTTGGCCAAACTTTTGTTGAGGGGGAACCTTGTAGGAGTTCAGCAAGGTTAGGGTTAGGGTTAGGGTTAGGGTTAGGGTTGGAGAGGCGGGGGTGGAAGGGAGTTACGCAGGAGGCCAGAGAGGAGGTCGCAGGGCCCCCCCCCAGTCATCCCAGGGCCAGCCACGGTTTTCCTGTGCGAGAGCCCCACGTATTTTGTCTCCTTCACCTCTCATGCCCTGCAGGGTTCAGTGCACACCGTGGTATGGCTTTGGGCCCGGCCTTCCGTGCCTGCCAGCCTTCCGTGCCGTACTGGCAAGTCGTAAAAAGTTACTCATTAAACAGCTCCAGTATCTGCCCAGAGTTTGGAGCCTTTTTGCAGGTGCTGTTTGTGGTTTGCCCTGCCAGGGATGCTCGTGCTTCCACTTCCCCTCTGGAGGGCCGGCCGGCTGGACTAGGCTCCTCTGGGCAAGAGAGAGAGACAGAGAGAGACAGAGAGAGACAGAGAGAGAGACAGAGAGAGACGGCGGGTGGTGTCCTCAGCAGCCTGGCTGAAAGGTTCTCTTCTGGAGAGGGGGAAAAACTTGTTTCTGCAGAAGTGGGTGTGGTTCTAGCTTGCTGTGACTCTGGTGCATTCCCACCCCTCTCTGCAAGGGCTTGCATGCACGCGGGCGCCTGGAGATAAACGCCCAGAGAAGCCAGCGAGGGGAGATTTGCAGAAGCAGATCTGCAGCAGAAGCCCGGAGAGAGACAGATGCCCCGCCGGGGTGCCTCCTGCTGACTGGGCCTGGGCAGGTATGTGGCGACCCTGCCTGCGTGCAGGTGCGAGGGGAGGGAGGCCAGAGGTGAGGGACAGAGCATGATGCTTATGGACCAGCGGCTGAGAGAATCGGGGCTGGCAGCTGGGAAAGTCCCAGCATCAGCCCGGAAAGCGAGGCCAGCCACAGTTCTCTCAACTGCACTCCCCACCGGCGGATGGAGAGAGGGAGATTAATTATTCCTGCCTCCTATGTGCCGCTGATGTGCCTTGACATGTGCTGCCTCAGTGCTGAGTTTCAGCATGGCTGGGAGCCAACCTCCCCGTCCCCCCCGGGGGAAATAAGCCCTCGTCCTCTGTCGCAAGGAGTGATGGTGCAGGCCGGAATGACAAGTGAGAAGGGGGCTGTTTGGAAGAACCAGGTGCTGGATAATCGTGGGGTGAGAAAAGGCGGGGTGGAGCGGCACAGGTTCCCTTGCGGCTCGGGGAATCGATGCTTCCCTTCGAAGTCTGGTTCTGGCAGGTTCTCGGGGACTGTGGGTCCCCAGCAAAATCCCGCTCAAGTTCGGGTCGCTGCTCCCAGGGGAAGAACCACATGGGAAAATATCTGAGTAGCTGGCGGTCAGTTGCCTTGACTCTGTCGTCCCCCCCCCCGCTCCAAGGAGCTGGAGGGGGTCAGAGGGCGATGCTCCCTCTAAGCTGTGGAGTCTCGTGAGCAAAAATTCTACTTTGTGAGCTGCTGGCATTAAAGTTGTGTAGCGAGCGATCGGGCTGCTGCATGAATTCGTCTGCTCTGGAGCCCCATCCTTCCTGAGCGGAGATGAAAATGTGTGTGAGCCGGAGGCTAAAAAACCTGTGAGCTGGCTCACACTAACTCAGCTTAGGGGGAACACTGGTCAGGGTCAGAGGGCTGCACGGGACTCTCAGCGGTGAACATTTGGGGCATGAGAGGAGAGGGGATGGGAGACCGATGGCCAAGATCCCCCACCCCCTTTCTGACGCGCCGTCTTTGTGACCTGTCATCAGGCCCCGTAGCCAGGAGCTTTTTGTTTTTTTTGGGGGGGGGGCATTTAAATTTTTAAAGGGGCAGTTAAATTACAGCAATTGAATTGATCAGAATGCCTGTCTTCAAGTGGGGAGGCTCCGAGCCTGTTTCTAGCCCTTCCTTTCAAGGGACAAGGCAGCTGGCATGTCAGTTCCTAGCAGGGGTCATTTCCTAGGAAAAGAGGTGCAGGAGCTCATTAGCATAACTGATTTGCATATGCCACACCCCCTGACGTCACCGGAAGTGTGTCAGAAGGCAACACCCACCAATCAGGCTCCACTGGACTGTTTTGGATTGCTAGCTATTGGGGGAAGGGGGGGAGGAACATGCAGATCTGCCCTCGCAGAGGAGGGAGAGCTTGTGCCTGAATAAACTTTGGTCTTAAAGGTGCCACTGGACTGTTTTGGACCAGGGGGCTGGGGGGGGGGGCTCTGCAGCTTACCTGGCTGCTTCTTGCTCTGACTGAGGGCTGCTGGGAGCAGGGGGTGGGGCTTGCTGCATGTGCCCGCCCCCTGAGCTCTTTACTGCCGGAGCTCCGCTCCTGTGCGCTCCTGCAGGAAATCACCCCTGGTCTTATTGGTAATCTAAAACGTTTATGTGTGCACCAATGTTCCCTCTAAGCTGTGGAGTCCTGTGAGCAAAAATTCTACTTTGTGAGCTACTGGCATTAAAGTTGTGAGCGAGCGATTTGGCTGCTGCATCAGTTAGTTTGCTCTGGAGCCATCCTTCCTGAGCTATGACAAAAATGTGTGAGCCAGAGGCTAAAAAACTGTGAGCTAGCTCACACTAACTCAGCTTAGAGGGAACACTGGTGTGCACTGGCCTTTTGGCAAATGAGCAGGGCTACGAAGGGGCACGTTTGAGCGTTGAAAAAAGAACAGCATCTCCCCTTTCCAGGCATCTCTTGGCCTGTATAAAGCCCCACGGTCAAGTTGCACCGATCTGGCCCACCGGACTCTCCGGGGCCCCTCCTCAAGCGATGGGAGCTGTGCCTGATTCCCTCCTCTGGGAAAGAAGAAGAAGGAGAAGAGATTGGATTTATACCCCGTCCTTCACTCCCCGAAGGAGTCTCAGAGCGGCTCACAAACCTCCTTCCCCTTCCCCTCCCCACAACAGACACCCTGTGAGGTAGGCGGGGCTGAGAGAGCTCTGAGAGAAACTGCTCCCATACAGATTCTGCTCCTCGCAAGGAGGCTTACACAGGAGGAGAGCTTCCGGGTGGAGGATTGGGCTCCTCGTGGAGCAGCGTGTGTGTGTGTGTGACTGGGGAGTGGAGCTTCTGCCTCGAGCACCAAACTTTTGGCTAGACGAATCCTGCGCCGAGCAGGAGCAAGCCTGCCGCTGGGTGAGTCTCGTTCCTACGGCTGCCTCGCTGACACTTGCCCCTTCGTTCTCTTTCTCTCTCCCTCAGAAAACCACCTGGAGCCTCGGCAGGAAGAGATGAGGGGTGGTGCCCCAAGGGGAACGGAAGGACTGATCTAAGCTAAGGCACAGCAGGGAGACACGGGCACCCCAAGCCAAGACCGGCCCCGCTCAGTTCCTGACCATGCTGAGCCTGAAACTTCCCCGGCTCCTCAGCATTAATCAAGTCCCCAAAGTAAGTACGGGAGGACAGGGGTCTCTGGACTATCCAGCTTCTGCGCAGGAAAGACCCGGGTGTTAGATTTTTTAACTTCCATCAATGCCGCTCTGGCAGCATTTATTGCATCGGAGCCCCAAATGGAGGCTGGTGGTACTGGTGTTTTGCTGCCAACCCTCCGGAAAGAAGGGACCCGCGCAGGCCGTCTGCTGCTCCGCTGGGCCTCTAAGGAGGCCACTGGCTCCTGCAGAGGAGAGGGAGGCGCGCCTCTCAGTCAAACACAAGCACTGCTCCTGGAAGCGGCAGCCCAGAGAAACGAGTAGGGGAACCTTCCAGAATCACAATTCTTCAAGAACAGCTTCAAAGGCAGACTCCAGCGTGAGGCTGCTGAAGGGGAATTCATTAGCACATCTGAAACTGTGGGGGCTGGGCATGGCTGCTAGTTTCACGGTAGAAGGTGACCGTCTCTCCTCAGGTGTGCAGAAGTGGAGCCAGGCATAGGGCTGGCCCACCCACCCCCCACCCAGGGGCAGGACTAGTGAGGCCAACGGGGGGGGGGCGCGTCCAAGGACAGAGCACAGGAGTCCAGGAGCGGGACTGAGGAGTCGGGAGAGTGAGCCCACAGAAAATGCAGACCCATTTAAAGTGCATCGAGTGTGTGGGGGTTTTTTGGTCTGTGGCTAAAGCAATATGAGGATGGAAAGGGGCGTAGAAAAGGCAGGCAAGGACAGCTACACTTTTTACAGAAGTTGCTTTTGAGACACAGAGTAACCTGGGCTGAAAACGAAAGTTCAGTTGGTCACAAGCCTGATACTGTAAAGTCCTAAGAGGTACAGCTCAGCAAATTTATTTGCTTTACAAGGAACGAAACCATTAAAAACTTGCCCATCTTCAATTCCTTCCATTATACTAAAAAAAAAAAAACCCAGGCATCCGGTAACATGTCAAAAGAGGGAGTCATGCCAATACAGTACCAGACCATTGGCAACCCTCCGTGACCTCAGAGTGCCTTTGACAATGCAGGCTGAGGCTCACAACCAGAAACTCTTCGTTGTGAAGCTGGTTGTCCTGTTGGACTGACCCAGCTGCACTTCTGTCAGTGTGACCCACAAGGCTTGCCCTGTTGGTCACAAACTGGCCGATGTGAGGGGGGATATGTAGTCAAAATACCAGAAACGTTTGTTACGTACACGCATGGCATTAAAGTGATTCTCTGCCGTTGTCTGCTTGGTGTCTGGATGCAAAATGTGCCTTTTGGAGGAACGGGGATCTTCCCCCTTCCCACTTTTTGTTTTTTTGGGGCGTACTGAGAGCGGGACACCCACGGTGCCTCGCGATCAGACGCTGCTGTTGTCCGCTCTCTTTGTAGCTGGGGCAATGGGGACATCTGGTGGACGCTCAGAAAGCAACGGGGGGGTCTGGGGACATCTGGCTGGCCATTTTTTCTCCCTGGAAAACTTTTAACCAGATCCGGAGGCGGCATCTCTGTGATGTTCGTTCCGCACCTCCCAGATCCCTGTTCAGCTCACCTGTTCCCCCATCACGAGAGGATGCAAACCGGGAAGACCTGGGTCAGTCCAAGCGGCTCAGGAACCCTTGGCTCTTCTTTTGCAGGTCTTCCGCGAGCAGGGGATCCTCTTTGGGTATCGGCACCCCCGGAGCTCCGCGACGGACTGCATCTTCAGCGTCTTCCAAATGACCAATGAAACTGTCAACATATGGACTCACTTGCTCCCTTCTGGGTCTGTTGATCGCATCTTTCTCCCACTCCCAAAGCTTCCTTGCTATTGGCCTAGAGGCTTCCCTGGACTTTCTGACATGGGGCTGTGCCGTCATTGTGCAGGAGGGATGGGTTGCAGCCGTGTGTGTGTGTGCGTGTGCGTGTGTGTGTTGCAGGCTGCACAGCCTCTTTCGGGGCTTTCCAGGGGCCTTTCCCTCCCCCTCCAATGCTAGTGCTGTCCCCAGTCTTTTGTCTCTCATTATATGATGCCCAGAAGAGCTGCAGGTAACCTTGCTACAGGGGAGAGAGGATAACTTTTCTATCACTTCTCCCCCCCAAAAAAAAAAACCCCTCTCAGCTCAAAAGTAAAGCATTGAAGGCGGATGAAATGGCGAGGCATTGTGGCAGACACAGAGAAGGGTGAGCTTACTGGCTTTTGACAGGACGGTGGTTCTGTTTTTCAGTCACATGGACACTTCTGTGTGTGTACAGGAGTGAGTTATGTGAGAGGAGGAATTATTCAAACTCTAAAAGAGTTAATACTGCTACCGAGGGCGACTTGTACGCACACGTTGTGAAGGTCGCCAAATGGAGCCGGTGCACCAAGGGGTCCTTTGTCAGAGCTGTCACATGAAGACCACCTGCTCATGGTCACAGGTGGGCGAAGGAAGCATCCTGCCCCCCCCAACCCGGATGACTTCACTGGTCAAAAGTCCTCTGTTTGTTACTATTCACTGGATCAGTGCCAGGGTTTAGTGGCTTGTGGGGCAAATTTTTTTTTCCGGGTGGGGCTGAAGTTCTCAGGGCAGAAGGAAAAGCCTTTTAGCCAGGAGAAAGCTGTTACCAGGATAGATCTCTCAACTGCAAGCTGTCAACCACTTTATATGACAGTTCTCAGCTGCTGCAAGTGAATCACTTCTGCCAGCCTAGGCAACAATTCTGAGAACAAGTCGGCAGGTGGGGGTGAGGACTTCTACAGTCAAGAAAGCTAATACTTAGGCAGTAAAACTCTCTCAAAGGAGACCAGCTTCTGGACCCGGAGTGCACACCTTTTCTGCTTAAAGGAGTGCACACCTTTTAAAAAAGTTTTTAAATGACTGAAAAAAGCATTTACAGGAGAAATTCTTGTGGGGCCGAGCCTTTAAGAAAGGGGGCGGAGCCCCCAAAAAGCCCACTGTAGATACAGGCCCAATTAGGCCCAGTTAGGCTGAGAGACTGGCCCAAGCTCTCCTGGTGAGCTTCCCTGGCAGAGAAGGGGAATCTGAACGCAGTCTCCCAGACCCTAGTCTGAGCATCTTGACCTTTGCCCCCGCCGGCTCTCTTGCTCCCTAAGGAACGTCCGTGTGGAGAGGCTGACTTGGCTGTTCTGCCTTTCAGGTACTTCCTATGGAAGCTCTCCGCCTTGCTCTTGGCCTGGGACGTCTGGAACGACCCCTTCACCTGGCCCTTCCTCACCTACATGGCCACCTGCTGCCTCTATCCGCTGGCGTCCACCTTCGCCCACACCTTCAGCACCATGTCCAGCCAAGCCAGGCACATCTGCTATTTCTTCGACTACGGCGCTCTGGCCTTATACAGCCTAGGTGAGGGGGCCCGGGTGACCTTGGGTGCGTTTCCCCAGCCCTGAAGCGGAGGTGTTTTTCTGGCAACTGAGCTGCAATTGCCCAAGAGTCCCAAACACGTTTTGCATAACGTCTCTGTGACAACATCCTCAGAAGAAGAATCGTTTCCCGTCCTGTGTTCTCCTTTGAAATTTTGCACCCAGCTAGCAAAACACAAGGTGCTACCCAAGCGCCTCGTTGGCCCTGAAGGGTGTGCCGAAGTAACCTCCTTGGTCTTTGAAGTCCACGGCTCCCTGTCCTCTTGAGGGGAAAGACGCTTCCCCGTAGGAATTTGGCATCTGAATGTAGGATCCTCCCCTTCCATTGGCTCAGCTGCCCCATCGCATTCTAGGTGTTGGCTCTTCGGAGGAAGGGG